CCTGCCTAACTGGTTTTATTTATTTTGGGTACTGTGGATTATACCATAGGCCTTGTACTTTCTAGAAGCCATACGGAAACTCTGGCAAGCATAGGGGTAAGGAAATACCATCTGGATCCTTGAGCATGCCTTTAAATTCTAGCAGCTTTTACATCAGACCAGGAGCTCCACATGGTCTTTCCTGAGGGTACTATAAATGAGTCTAGGCCTTTCTCCTTCTAGCATCCAACCCAGAGCCTTCCTGCATAGTAAACACATATTCTACCACCAGACCACACACCACAGCCTACCATATAATCCAAAACTTGAGTGGTTTTTACTTGGTTGGTTGGCTGGTTGGTCTCTTTGTAGACCTAGTTGATCTGGAACTCACTACATAGATCAGGATGTTGGGCTTAATATCACAGAGATCCACTTGCCTCTGCCTCCCAAGTGCTGGAATTAAAAGTGTGTGTCATCACACCTGGTTTTGTTTTTTGAGACAGTCTTATATATCCCTGGTTTGCCTAGAAATAATCATGTATCCCAGGATGGTCTAAACTTGCAGTCCTCCTGCCTCAGCCTTACTGCTGGGAACACAGGCATATATCCCCATGCTCAGCTTTAATTTGATTTTTTTTTTTTAAATCACTTTGGGTTATAAAAAAAAAGAAAAAGGAAAAAAAACCTGGCTATGTAACTGAGGATAGCCATGAGCTTCTGATCCTCCTGCCTCTACTTCCCAAGTGCTGGGATTACAGCCCTGTACCAACATGCCTTGATTTAAAGACTTCTGAAGAAAGTGTAAATAAGAATGAAGAGCTTAAATCTGCAGTGGCAGGATCCAGAGTTAGATGTTTCTTTGTCTTTTTGGGACAGGGTCTCTCTATAGCCCCAGCTGTCCTGGAACTCACTATGTAGACCAGGCTGGCCTCAAACTCACACCCAGCCAGAGTTAGATGTTAATAGAAAGGCCAAGATGGACTTACAGTAGCCTCAGGATAGACATGGAACTCCTGGTCTGGAGCAAAAGTTGTTAGAATCTGAGGATGGTCCAATGACCCACATGGTATTTTTCCCACCCCTAAGCCAGAGCTCTCATATGACTTCCAGAAGGGGAGAGGGACTCCATTCCATCTCCCTGTGAGGCACTAGGGAGGCACAGGAATGGAAGAGCAGCCATCCAAGAAGATAGACCTGGGCGGGAAAGTAGTCTTAGGTTCTATTCTGACACTTTGGGCTGATAAGCATAAGTTGTTGGGCCTCCACCCTGATTAAGTAGTCAGCTTATCAGGGGCCCCAGACTACCCTACCCAGCCCCAGACTCTCCTCTAGCCCCACACCCCATCACAGCAGCCTCCACCCATAATTGGACCACAGCCACAGGATTTCTGGCTGACTGAGATATCTCAGTCCTTCCAGGACCCCTCAGTTCTGTCAAGCTTTGGACTCTGCCTCCAGGGACTAGGCAATGGCATGAAGTTTGGTCCTGGTGTAGGAAGACCTCACTCTGTGAAGGAGCTTGGGTGTCTGTGGGGGCCTCAGAGTAGAGGTGGCCTGGGGAAGGTTACAGAACAAGAAAAGGGTCACAGAGAGGTGGGAGCACCCTGTGATGACATTTTTCACTCATGTATTTCTAACTTGATTCTTACAACTTGGTGAGGTGTGTAGCACTAAGGCTCGGAGAAATGCAGCTTGTCCTCAGCCACACAACTAGCAAGTGGAAAGGAAAGGAGGGAAGGAAACTGGCAGCATTCCATGGGTACTGAGCTCTGGTCCTCATAATTACCACAAAAGGCAGGAAGCTCCCATTTTACATTTGAGGAAACTGAGGCCCAAAAAATTTGTTCCTAAGTCATCGAGCTAGATACAGTGAAGTCAGACTGTCTCTTAGGTACTGTGACCACTAAAGGTGGGTAATTTCAGGGGTTCCAAGATGTTTTCGAGAGGTCATTTTTGGCTACAGAGAGAAGAGAGAGGATATGAATTTCAAATGTTCCATACCCTTCCCTGTGACCTTCTTCTCTAGGTCCCTTGTGGAAAGGGGCAGAGATGGGTATTAATTTGTTTGAACTATTTCTGTGGACCAGCACTCAGGTTGAGCAAAAGTACTTTATCAAGCTGAGCCCAGTGGCACAGGCCTGTAGTCCCAGTTACTTGGGAGTCTAGAGCAAAAAGACTGAATAATCAAGGCCTACATAGTGGGCTTAAATGTCAGCCTGGGCAATGCCCTTCTCCTCTCCAAAAAAATAGTAAAGAGGGCTGGAGAAAGTTCAGGTGGTAAAGTGCTTGCCCAGCATGCACAAAGTTCTGGGTCCGTTCCTAGCACTGCACAAACCCAGCATGGTGAATGCCTGTAATCCTAGCAGTCAGGAGGTAGAAGCAGCAAAATCAGAAGTTTAAGGACATCCTCAGCTACACATGGAGACCAGCTTTGGATACATGAGACTCTGACTCAAGAACAAAGAGGGCTGGAACTATAGCTACCTAGCATGTGTGAGGCCCAAGTTCAATCCCAAGTACAAGAAAAGCAAACAAAGCACTTTTTCAGCAGTGAATTTCCTAGTTCTCACAACTCTGTGAATCAGATTATTATTCCTGTTTACAAATGAGAACAGGGAGAGCCTAAAAGAGGAAGCGGCTTTCCTAAGAGAGCCACAGCTTTGTCTCTCACTTCCTGTCAATCATCCAACATGAATGTTTACTTAGTCTAGAAGTATGTGGTAGAGACACACAGGTGAATAAATCTTAAATGTGAAGAATACACCATTAGGGTCAAGAGGGTGCAGTTTAGTGGTGGAGCACTTTTCTAGCATGTGAGAGACCCTGGATTCCATCCCCATTACACACATCCCCCCACAAAGAAAAGGTCACACAAATAAATGAGCCTACAACAGTGGGATTTAAATAGAAAGACTGGGCTGGGACCCAGGACCCCTCAGACTAAATTTCCATTTCCAGACTTTGTATTTGTGCTGAGCTGTAAGTCCCTTGTGGGAAGGAGCACTTACAGGCATGTGTCCTATAATTCCAGGACTCAGGAGGCAGAGGCAGGATTGTCTTGAGTCTGAAGTCAGCTTGGAACTACAATGTTAAGATCTTGTCTAAAAAAAGAAAAATTTAAATCATTAAATAAATAGACTGGGAAGACTTCCCTGCAGAAGTAACACTTTAGAGATCTGAAGAGAAAACAGTGTTAACAATACAAGGAAAGATCATGCCAAGCAGAAGGTAGAGTATGTGCCACATTTCCTTAAGTGAAGGAAACAGACATCTCCAAAGAACCAAAGAAGGCTGGGCCTCTCTTCCCAGCCCTCATCCTGGTGTACTTTACCTCTGCAGAAGGGGGAACAGACTAGATTGTCTAGAATAAGAGAATGGGTGGGAATATCCCCCAGGTGAGAGTCTAAATAGCAGAGGCTCTGGGGAGCTTCTCAGCATTCTTCTCCCCTTCCCCAAAGGCAGAGACCCAAACAGTGTCAGGCTCTCACTGTAAGTGCCTTAAGCTCTGAAAAGTAGGCTTTAGTTCCTCTTACACTGGCTTCCACAAGAGCTGGGGCCTCAGGTGTTCTTAAATCTCACTCACCCAGGATTGAGCACCACTCACCCAGGGGACCATGCCAGGATAGTGGTGGGCAAGTTGCTTCTAGGTCTGGCTCCTTGGGCTCAGCACAAATACAAAGTCTAGGAATGGAAATTTAGGCTGAGGGATCCTACGAATTTGCTCCAAGATAGATTCTATATAGATTCAGCTGCTGGGGATCCTCTCTGCCTTACATGGATTTAACTAACATTCCCAACCATCACCCAAAACAAAACAAAAGCCCTTTCACCAGGGCTTCAACAACTAGGCCCTGAAGTATAGGATGAGGCTGTCTTTCTCCTCCCTAGTCTGGCAGATAGGCAGCCAGCTTCATGGGATAGGGTGAAAGATGGATCTTAGGCTTAGTTTCCCCTTTTAATAGAATATAGGCAAAAGGGAGATATAGCTCAGTCATGGGATGCTTAGCTAGCATACATCAGTACCTAAGTTTAGTTCCCAGCACAATTTGTTAAAGAACTAAACAACAAAAAAACCCAACCAAACAAAAACAAAAAGGGAAGAGCCAGTGACTTGTTTCAAGCAGCCCAGTAGCAGAAGGGTTAAGAGGCGAGGCCTTCTAGAACCTGGGAAAAATGCCCCACCCAGGGGAGGGGCATCAGGTTAAAAGGACAGCAGCTTGAATCCGAAGGAAGAGACTGGACAGGACAGGTTCTCCCTATGTCCAAAGGCTTACCCAGACTGCAGCTCCAGCTCCAGGTAAGCACTCCTCCCTCCTAAGAGCGCCCATGTGCTTACAGGTCTGCCCTGAGGGAACCTTGTGCCTCATTATCTTATTTCTGGCTTGTTTAACTCTGGGGTCCCTAAGAGATCATAACAAACCTTGGCTCCTTCCCGTAAGCTAGGGGTTGCACAGAATGAAGATGTTGTTCTGGGAGGGAGTGAAGAAGAGCAGGGAGGTGGGGAGCTATGTCCAGCTGACAGGATGGGTCAACTATCCTGTCCCAATCCCTGGCTCTCCATGTCCACAGTTCTCTCCAAGCCTACCTTTCACCTGAAGGGCCTTGGCTGGGATATCATCATATACTGTAAGTTTGTGATGAGACACTACAGTATAGATGATGTACTAGTCCAGGTACCCCCCCCCCCCCCCTTGGATTGGCCCCCCCCCCCCCCCAGCTCTAGAGACTGCAGTGGAGGGCAGGGGAGATGTTAAAGGACAAGGGGCTCATTGCCCCAGACTATCGCTGACCTGCTGACTGCTGTGGTGCTTGGGAATGGCGAGGAAACCGTTACCATTACTGAGTTTAGTAATGGTAACGGTTCTTTTGCTGCTCCCAGAAACTGCCAAGAAGAGCGCTCACAACCCAGGAACAGACCACTGGAAGGGCAAGAGACCCTAGCATAACAAGAGAACGGGGTGGGGGGAGGTAGTGGGGGCCTTTTTCTCTTTCCTGTTCTAAAGAAATAAAGATGAAAATAAGAACACTTGTCTTTTACTTTATTGGCAACAAAGGCTGGGTAACTGGTGGGAGTGATTAAGGACTTGGGCATACAGGTAGATGGTACTCTCTCATGTAATAGGTGGTTCTTTTTTTTTTGAGACAGGGCACAGAGATCCATCTGCCTTCTGCCTCCCACGTGCTAGGATTAAAGGTATATATCACCAAGCCCAGGAAAACACAGGTTCTTACACAACTTTAAGGTGATGAATTCAAGGAAGGGGGAAAGATCTTCCTGCTAACAACTGGGAACTCAGGACAAAACTGTGTCCAATGCTAGCAGAGGCAGGTGATCCAATTCACACCATGAGGGCCAACTTTTGAGACTTCCAAAGCTGTAGCTCCAGGTAGAGGAACTACTTGAGAACTAAGCTAAGGCAGGTTCTTTCCTCCAATGGAGGACACAGCTGGGCAGGTACTGTGCACTCAACAAGGCCAGGTTGGCCAGCAGCCAGTTGGTATCCATGGCCCTCACCCTGCTGACAGGGGCTCTGCTAAGTGACTCCAGCAGCTTGAGATAGGATGCACTGGGAGGGGCAAAAGAAGATGGTCACTTTAGAAGCTTTACAGAGAGTCGGATGCGAACATCACAGAGGAAGATGTCCATGAGGTCTTGGCCCACTTCCTGTGCAATCTGGGAGATCAGGTGGCCCTTCCGACCAATCAGGATCCTCTGAGTGGGGAAAAGAGGAACAAGGTCCTGTTCTGAGGGCTCATAGGTAGGGAAGAACTCTTAGTTAACATTGCTACTATCCCTCCTCTGAGCTTGCCCTCACTTACCAGATGAGACTCTTTGGGCACCAGAAGGTTCTGTTGGATCACTAGCTCCCCGCTTGGTCCTTCCTCCCATACCAGTGTCTTCTGTATAGGTAAACATGACTAGTCAGATAGGCCTGTCTGTGTCTCCTGGTACCCAGCTGTTTCAGTGTCTGCCTGGTACAGAGGCCCTGGATCCCTTCACTCTGCCCACACCTGCTGCACACTGTAGGGCACCTCCTCAGGCAGGTACTCTAGCAGCTTCTCTCGGATTTTGTTGGTGCAGATCTCTTCAGGTGCCTGGCTAGTGAGGACTCCACTGTGGAACTCCCAGGGTCCAGGTTGGGCTTGTGCCAGGAGGTAGTGCTGTGGGTAAAGGAAGAGTGGGCTCTCTCAACTTATTCAACCTTTGAGGAGAAAATTGAGGCCTTGAGATAGGGTCTCATGTAGCCCAAGCTAACCTCAAAACTGCTGTAGTTGAGGCTGGCCTTGAACTCCATTTTCTCTATTTAATGCAGTCATAGCACACAGTCAAGGTTTACTAAAGCAAAAGTAACCCTCTCCCTACTGGGTGTGGTGACACACACCTTTGATCCCAGCACTTGGGAGACTTAGGCAGGTGGATCTCTGTGAGATCTTGCCTCAGCCTGCCAAACCCTGGGATTATAGGGGTAAGCAACCCCACTGACTTTTTTCCCTCCTCTAACACCATAATTTGTACAGACTGGCCTCAAACTCCTGATCTTCCTGCCTCCACTTCCTAAGTGCTAGGATTACAGCCATTCAACACTCTGTCCAGTTTATGCAGTTGCTGGGGACTGAATGAACTCAGTCTTACACATATTAGGCAAGTGCTCTACTAACTGAGCTACTACATCCCTAGCTGGTTGGTTTTGGTCTCCTTATGTAACCTGGCTGGCTTCAAATTTTCAGTAATCTTGCTAGGGGTGGTGGAGCATTCCTTCAATCCCAGCACTTAGGAGGCAGACAGATCTCTGTGAGATCAAGGCCAGCCTGGTCTATATAGTGAGTTCAGGCCAGCTGAGGCTATAGGGAGATCCTGTTTCAAAAAGACAAAAAATAAAAAAAACAGTAGTCTTTCCGACTCTGCCTCCATGTGCTGGGATATTATACTTGGGTATTTTTGTTTGTTTTTGTTTTGAGGCAGGGTCTCCCGTAGCTCAGGTTAGTCTTCAACTCACTATATAAAGATGATCTTGAACTCCTGATTCTCCTGCTTCTACCTCCTAAGTACTTGGAGTTACAAGCATAGTTATCACACCCAGTTTTTTATTTTGTTTTCTGAGAATCAGGGTCTTACTTTGTAGCCAGGTTGGTCGGGGTGAGACCTATCCTTTTTCTTTTTTTATCCTTTTTTTTTTTCTTTTTGGTTATTTTGAGATAGGGTCTCCTTGTAGCCCCAGCTGTCCTTGAATTCACAAAGATCCGCCTGCCTCTGCCTCCCAAGTGCTGGGATTAAAGGCTTGCAGAGACCTATCTTAAAATGGCAGAAACCATGGGCTATAGCCAAAGCTAACTAACCTTTAGTGTCTTCACATCCTCGTTGTTTAGGGCTGATAACATGAAGATCTCCTGGAAGTGGGGCCAGCCAACTCTCTGAGGGTTTTCCACTGAGTGTGCATTTGAATCCTCAGTTGCAGAACTGGGGCAGTGTGTGCGAGGTTGTGAGTGGAAAGCCTGCCTTATATTGAGCTTCTTGCCATTGACTACACCTTCAGTGAGGACTGCTGTCAGCTCCAAAAGAACTGATTTCTGCTTAAGGCAATCCACCTGGGCACCGGGGTAAGCAAAGTATGTGGTCAGAGAGATGGAATCTTGAAAGGAAGACCCCCTTCCCTCAGGTAGACAGTACTTACCTTGTTCAAGACAAGGATACTAGGTACCTGGGAGAACTGGGTCAAGCACTTCAGTACCTGGGGATTGAGCTGGTTCCTAGTCCACTTGTCGGACACATCCACAAGAACTACAACTAGAAGAACAGGCAGAAGAACAGACTATGACCTTCCTCCGGAACCACAGAAAGTTCCAAGCTCTGGGCTCTGGTCAAACCCCAATTCCCAAACTACCAGGAATGAAAGGCCCTGTAAATAAGGTTTTGGATTTCTAGGCTGAATCTAACCTAAATCAGCAGATTCCATACTCTTCCATGGATCTTCCAACAAGGAGAGCTCCAGATGGTGCCTAAGAGACAAATGCCATCAGTCAGGAAGTCTTTCAGAAAGGGACTGATCAGTTCATGATGAAGGATGGGGTGTCATAGGAATTTTCCAGCCCACCTCTTTTTCATTACTCCCCACGCCCAACCCATTTCCATAGCTACTACCTCTTCTGTTTTATGGGACTGATGATGCCAGGTGTGTCAAGTAGAATCTAAAATCAGGAAAGAAAAAAAGAAAAGATTTTTACTGGTTACTATAGAAAGAGGCCACCATCCCCTCCCACTTAAAAGTACTGTAACACTTAAGCTAGGGCCTACAGAGTAGGAGAATACAGAAAGGTTTTTTTTTGTTGTTTATTTTCTTTTATTTTTTGGTCTTTTTGAGACAGGATCTTCCTGTAGCCCCAGCTGACCTGAAACTCACTATGTAGACCAGGATGGCCTTGAACTCACAAATCCGCCTCCCTCTACCAGCTTAAGTTTTATTTACTTGATGTGTATATGCCTGAATGTATGTATGTGTACCATATAATGCAGGCAGTTGTGAGCTGCCATGTGGGTGCTGAGAACCAAACCTCGGTCCTTTGTTAGAGCAGCAGGTGCTCTCAGCATTTATCTAGTCTCGCCCCCATGACCCACCCCACCCCCGGCTTTTTTTTTAAAGCAGCATCTCATTATATAGATCTGGCTGGTCTGTAACTCACTATGTAGACTTAAACTCACAGAAGCCCACTTGCCTCTGCCTTCCAAGTGCTGACATTAAAGGTGTGTACCACCATGACTTGCGAGAAAGAGGCCATCTTTGATGTTAGCATACTGCCTTCCTTTCATGACAGCTGTTACTGTCATGAATAAATGAAGGATAAATGCTGGGGATGTGGCTCAATGTTAGAATGCTTGGGTAGTATTCCGAAGGCTCTGGGTTAGATCCTCAACACTACAGGAAACAAAGAAACAATGACTACAACAACAACCAAAACCGCCACAGAGTTCAATGCTAAACAATACTTTGTTTAGCCAGGTATGGTATCATCTACCTATAATCCCAGCACTTAGGAGGCAGAGGCAAGAGGATCGCTTCAAATTTGAGGATGGTTTGGCCTACATATTGAGTTCAATGCCAGGTAGGGGTACATGGAAAGACCCTGTCTCAAACAAAACAAACAACAACAACAAAAAAAAACAAGAAAAACAAAACAAAACAAAACAAAAAACCCGGCCAGGTGCACTGGGAGGCAGAGGCAGGTGGACCTCTTTGAGATCAAGGTCAACCTGGTCTATACAGGCAATTCAGGCTAGCTAGGGCTAAAGGAAGATGCTATCTCAAAAACAACCACCACCAACCAAACAAACAAAACAAAAAAAGCAAAACAAAAAAGAAGTACAGAGCAATCAAAGGCTGCACCTGACATCAACCTCTAGCGTTTACACACAGAAAAATTTTTCTTTTTGTCTTTTTTGAGATAGAGTCTCCCTGGAGCCCCAGCTGGCATGGAACTCCACATATAGACCAGGATGGCCTTGAACTCACAGATCCGCCAGTCTCTGCCTCCCAAGTGCTGGGATTAAAGGCATGTGCCACTATGCCCAGCTACAGAAAAATTCTTAAAAGAATTTTAAACAATGGGCTAGAGAGATGGCTCAGCAGGTAAAAACATTGGCTGCTCTACCAGAGGAACAATGTTTAGTACCCAGCACCCACATGGTGGTTAACCTGTAACTCCAGTTCCAGGAGATCTGACTCCTTCGGACTTCTACAGGCACTGCATGACATAGGTGCATCTACCTTACATGCAGGCAATACACATAAAATAAAAATAATAAGCATACACATAAAGTAAAAATAATAAAATATGTTTTAAAAAATAAAGCCAGGTGTTGTGGTGCATGCTTTTGATCACAGCATTCAGGAGGCAGAGGCAGGTAGATCTCTGTGAGTTCAAGGCCACCCTAGTCTACATAGCAAGTTCAGGCTAGCTAGGGCTACAGGAAGACCCTGTCTCAAAAATACCAAAAAAAGAAATTTAAACGAGAGGGAATAATTTCAGAATAGATGGTAAAGGGTGGACAACAGGAGCAGAAATACACAGGGCCTTAAGAGATGGGAGGCTCCATTCCATCAGCTAGATGAATCTAAGCATTCTTTCTCTGAGAGTGTGTATGTGTGTGTTGAGAGAGAGAGAGAGAGAGAGAGAACGCAAGAGAGAGAGAGAGCGCAAGAGAGAGAGAGAATGTTATTTGTTTCGTTTTGTTTTGAGACAGGGTCTTGCTATGTAACCCAGGCTGGGCTCAGTCTCCCCAGTGCTGGGATTACAGGTGTGATGACCTTCCCCACCCCAATTCCCAATACCAAATCATTATTTTCATTAAGTCTAATGTAAGGGAGACTTGCTTAGCTTCACATTATGTCCTGTCTCCAGAACTTCCTTTGTAGATACCTACCACCTGGGCCTCCTTCTCTGTGATGACCCCTAGAGCTTGGCAGCGAGTGGTGTGCACCTTCTTGGAGACAGGAAACACCTTCCAGGAACAAAGAAGTCCCAGTGAGATCCCAGATCCCTCCTGGGTCATCCATGAAAGTAAAGCAAGAAGTGAAAGACAAAAAGATAAAAGGGGGTGTGGGCATTGGGGTGGTAAAAGTGTAGCATACCTTACGGCCCAGCAGCTGATTGGAGAGTGTTGACTTCCCTGCATTTGGGGCTCCCAGGAGGGCCACTCGTAGAACCCGTGGATTCTCAGGCATGTCAGGGGTATGAGCCAAGAGCAGAGTCTGCTCATCTGTGTTAGGGTGGGAAGAGCAGTGAGACACAGCAGAATCTAGACTATTAGATGCTCAGCCCTGCTACCCAAAGATGAAATCAAACAAAAGATTAATGTACCATGCTAAAGCCACCTACACCTAACTTTGAGACTAGGCTGACCTTTAATTCTGATTTCATCAAGTTGTCTAACCTCTCTAAGCCCCTTTATTTTCTCATGTGTAAAGTGGAACTGACATTAATGATGTCTATATTTTTTTCATGATGACAACTGTATAAAAAAAATTACTCTGCATAGGCTGGGGACACACTTGCAATCTCAGCCCTTGGGAGTCTGAAGCAAGAGGACTGTCATTGAGTTCTAAGCCAGCTTGGCCTATGGCTAGACCCTGTCTCAAAAAAAATCCCAAAACAACCACAGTAAATTACACCAGGAAAATAGCACTTTATAAATTGGGTGTTGTGACTCACACCTGTGATCTCAGCACTCAGGAAGTGGGGGGTAGTGAGTTCCAGACTATCCTGGGCTGGAGCAGAGACTGTCTCAAAGACCCCTCCCACCAAAAAATTGCACTTTATTTTTCAAGTGGACAGACTAGAATCTGGTATAGACTAGATGCTGTTAATTGCAATACACAAGCATAGGGAAAGACTGAGAAAGTTTGCACAATCTTCATAGCAGATTTGGTAGGGGCTCAACATTCATTTATTGGGTCTAGACTGCTTGCAATGTGGAGACAGAGTGAGATAACTTTGCCCTGTCTAATGATTTTACCCGGGTATCTCTGGTTTTAAGCAGTTATATTTCTTCTCATTCTCAAACTTTTTTTTTTTTTTTTTTTTGGTCTTTTTGAAGTGCTGGGACTACAAGCGAGCGCCACCACGCCCGACCAAGCTTTTTTTTAATGTTACATTTATTTATGGGTGGGGGCAAGCATGCCACGAGTGTATATGCAGGTCAGAGGCCATATTGCGGGAATTGGTTCTCTCCTTCCACTACACAGGTCCTAAGGATTGAACTCAGGTCGTCAGTCTTGGCAGCAAGAGCCTTTACCTGCTGAGCCAACTCACCTGCCATCATTCTCCAACTCAATATCCTTCACTACTCGTCTATCTTAGGGTCTCAGATTTATTTTCTATAAAAAAGGGAGAGGCTGGGCCGGGCGTGGTGGCGCACGCCTTTAATCCCAGCACTCGGGAGGCAGAGGCAGGCGGATCTCTGTGAGTTCAAGGCCAGCCTGGTCTACATAGTGAGTTCCAGGACAGCTGGGGCTACAGGGAGACCCTGTCTCAAAAAGACCAAAAAAAAAAGGGGGGGGGGAGGCTAAGTCGATATCCCCAGAGATAGAGGAGATTTCCCTAGATACAGGACTTTCAGTGCTAAAACCATGACCGAGGCGGGTCGTGGTCCAGGCCTGTAATCCCAGCACTCTAGAGGAGGCACCAGGGAAGATCCCGAGTCCCTAGCGAGTCTGGGCTACACGGCGAGACCCCTCGCGAAACAAAACAAAGCAAAGCACGCCACCACAACCATCTAGCCGAGCCCTTTACCTCTGTACGTGCACGCGGCGGGAACCCTGGGAGCGGGCGAACAGTCGGGCTGAGGGACTCCAAGGATGCGGTCCAGGGCTGAGTCCTGACCACTGCAAGAGGCGGGGGCCAGACGCGGACCAGAAAAGGCGGTGCCCACCATGCAGGACACGCACCTGGCCTGGGGACCCACAGCGGGACGGAGTGCAGCCGCCCAGGGCCTCGCGGCCTGCGGGCCTAGCTGCCAGGCCATCACTAGGCGAGCCAGCCCAGAACCGCATCGTCTGGGCGCAGCCATCTTGCCGCAATGCACGCTGGGACCCACCAGAATCACGCCTTCGATTGGACAGGAGCCCACAGACCAACGAGTAGAAGAGAAGTAGAACGGCCCAAACAGAACTGAGCCCCACGGGATCGCGGAGGCTGCGAGGGCGAGGACTAGGTCCGGAGACTGAAGAAGGCTAAGGGAAGGCAAAAGCGAGACTGCATTGTCTGTGTGAGCGACAGTCGCTTTGGACCCCCATACACATGCTACTTTCTTTTGCCAAGTTCTGTAAAAGGGCTTTTTAAAAGCCCAGTCTTCTGGATGAGGACTACAACTCCCCAGAGGTCAAATAGCAGAAATCCTCCTCCCAGCGCGTTGGGAGAAGAAACCCGTGATGCAGGAAGGCGGGGCATAGGTGTGGGCATGGGAAAGGGCAAGTCACCGGAAGTTGTTTCTTTTTTTTTCCCCCAAGAGCTTTCTAACATCAATCCTGCAGAATCCTTTCTCATTTGATCTTAGCCAAAAGGCTGAGAAGCGATTAGAATCCTTTCTCATCTCTTTGGCTTGTCTTGGATGGGTTCAGCAGTCTCACCCCCTCTGCATCTTTGCAGTATGTTAGCCTTTTGATAAGGAGTCGGCATTCCTTGGTCTGCATTCCTGTTAAGCAGCAGACCAGATTTCCCTCCTTTAAAGACCAGTTCTGGAGAGGGGAGAAAAAAAAATTACTCTCTGAGAACATCTTTCTGGATGGAATAGATAGATAGATAGATAGATAGATAGATAGATAGATAGATAGATAGATGATAGATAGATAGATAGATGGATAGATAGATAGATGATAGATAAAAACACATCTCAGGGCTGGAGAGATGACTTGGCCATTAAAAGCATTGACTGTTCTTGGCTGGGATCAGGTTCAGCTTCCAGCACCCACAAGGCGGCAAATAACCGTCTGTAACTCCAGTTCCAGGGGATCCTACGCCCTATTCTGAGTTCCCCAGGCATTACACGCACGTGGTGCACTTACATGCAGACGAAATACATATATAAAAATAAGTGGGGTTGGAGAGATGGTTCAGCGGTTAACAGCACTGGCTGCTCTTGCAGAAGACCTGGATTCGATACCTAGTGCTCACATGGCTGCTAACAATGATCCATAACTCCAGTTCCAGGGGATCCAACACACCCTCTGGCTTGTGCGGGCATGGCAGGACTCCGGTGCGATTACATACAGGCAGGCATTAACACTCATACACATAGAATAAGAAAAAAGCCAGGCGTGGTAGTGCCCTTAATTCCAGCAATTGGAAGGCAGAGGCAGGGAGATCTCTGGGAATTCGGGACCAGTGTGGTCTACAGGGAGACCCTGTCTCAAGAAGACTAATAATAAATAAATAAATAAATAAATAAATAAATAAATAAATAAATAAATAAAAATTCGAGGTTGCTGGGTGAGGTAGTACACACAGGGGTATCCTCTCAGCATTTGAGAGGTGGAGGCAAGAGCCTTTAATATCAGCATTGGTAGGCAGAGGCAGATAGAACTCTGTCAGTTTGAGACCAGCTGTCTCATAAATAAACAAATATATAAATGACCTCAGAGATTGTTATGCACAGCCTAATGACCTGAGTTAGATACAGTTCTTGCCTAACATGCAGGAAACCCTGAATTAGAATGGAGGGGGCAGAGAGAGAGAGAAAAGCTGAAAATTGCTTAGACATCTAGGATCTGCCAAGTTTCCTGAGGAACTTTGCTTGGCTTTTGTAGCCTTGAGCTCTTGTTATCCTTTGAAGCCTTAGTCAAACCCCTGCCACACACATTTGTGTATTGGTCAGTTAAATTCTTGAAATGTGAAAGATACATCTTATATGGTTTGGAAGGATGAAGACTTATTAAGCATCTGCTCTGTCCAAACACTGCAGAGTGCTGAGAATACATCATCAAACAAAATGGACAAAAAATTTCTATGATGAAATTTGAATCTACAAGGCCTGAATCCTACACCTAGGTTTTTTTTGTTTTGTTTTGTTTTGTTTTGTGTGTGTGTGTGTTTGTGTATTAGTGATCTGAAAGTTTCATACACCAATCCAGTGCTTTGGTGAAAGCCTAAATGGAGTGAGTCTAAGAGACAGAGAAATTGGAGCTGGGCTAGAGCCAGGTATGATGTCCATCTTACTCATGTAATTCCAGTACTTGGGAGTCTGAGACAGGAGAATTTCTGACAGTTCAGGGCCATTCTGAGCTACATAGTGGAAGCTTATCTCAAAACAATCACCACAACAAACAAATAACAGCAACAAAAACCAAACATAAAATCCATAAACTAGCAGGCTGGGGATGTGGTTCAGTTAGTAGAGTATTTGTCTAGCAAGCACAAACCCTTGGTTGGATCCCAGAACCACATAAAACAGTGTGGTGGCACATAGTGCACTGGTGAGGTAGAGGGAGGAGAATCAGAAGGTCAGGGTCATCATAAGCTACATGGCAAGTTCAAGGCTGGCCTGGGAGACATAAGATCCTATTTTAAAGAAAAGATGAGGTTGCCATGTTCATTCTTGTAATTGTAATTGCAGTACTCAGGAGGCTGAGACTCCTGGATCACCATGAATTTGAGGCTAGCCTAGGCTGTGCAGTGAGCTCCATGCCAGCCTAGGCTACAGAGTGAAACTCTCAACAGAACTACAATACAAACACACACACGCACACATACACAGACACTAGAACATTTTTATTTGCTCATGGCAATGACCTAGTATACAGGGGAAAAATGGATACAGAACAGAGAGAATTTTGGAGGTGGAGAGAACCAACTGGCCAGGCTGTTGCTATAGGAATGGAAGATTATTGTTCTGAAAATCTCTGGCTGACATAGAAGTGACAGAGCTAAAGAAGTCAAGTTAACTGATGGTCTGAAACATGATATTTTGGATGTTATCTGGGCACATGGGTACCCAGAAAACAAGATGATACCAAATATTGGGGACAGCCAGCAATCAGATAATACAAATGTTTGATGGACAGTTTGGTGAAATACCATTAAATTGCTATTAGGGTGAAGAGAAAACTTCAGGCCAAAAGATGGCATGTAACTGGGCATGGAGGTATGGTGGTTCATTCCTGTAATACTCTGGATACTGAGGTAAGAACTACATAGCAATTGGTAAGACAGCCAGGGCTACAAAGTGAGACCCTGTCTCAAAGAGAGAGAGAGAGAGAGCCATTTAGCCCAGGGTGACCTCCAACTGTGTAGGCATCCAAGGATTACCTTGAACTACTGATCCTCCTGCTTCTACCTCCTAAGTCTGGGATTACAGTTGTACATCACTATACCTGGTTTATTTGGTGCTGGTGATCCAACCTAGGACTAAATGCATGCTAGACAAGCATTCTACCAGCAGAATTACATTCCTAGCCCCTGATTTTTTTTTTGAGAAAAAGTTTCAACATACAGCTCTTATATCCCTGGTTCGCCTGCACAAGGATTATAAAGCCAGCAATACTAGGTTTGATTTTCAACTTGTTTATTTATAGTTAGGGTCTCCTGTAGTTCAGACTGGCCTTGAACTGTCTATGTAGCTAAGGATGTCCTTGAATTACTGATAATCCCACTTTTATCTCAGGTTCCATTGTTTTGATTTGATTTGTTTTTGATTTATGAGGCAGGGTCTCACTATGTAGCCCTGACTGGCCTGGAACTCACTATGTAGACCAGGCTAGCCTCCAACTCACAGAGATCTGCCTGCCTCTGCTTACAGAGTGCTGAGATTAAAGGTATGTACCAACAAGAAAGAGAAGTAGGTGCTTCCTTTCAACTGTTGAGCTACCACTCCAGCCCCTCAGTGAATTTTTTTGTTTTATTTCTTTGAGGCAGACTCTCATTCTGTGGTTCAGGCTAGTCTTAAACCTGTGATCCTACTGCCTCAGCTTCCTGAGTGGTTTTCTTTCCCCCTGAGATAGGGTCTTCCTATGTATATCAGGCTTGAGCTCAGAGCTCATTTTTAATTATGTGTACATAATTAAGTGTCCAGGGAGGCCCAAAGTGCTAGATATTCCTGGAGCTGGAGTTATAGGAGGTTGTGAGCTGCCTGACGTGGGTGCTGGAAACAAAACTCCAGTCCTCTCAAGAACAGTACTGGTTCTTAACCAATGAGCCATCTCCCAGCCCCTAGAATGGTTCAGCTGTAGGAAGAGGTTCTGTCATCATATAGGCTCCATCAGGCCTTCCCAGAAGTTCAGTGTGATAATAGTCCAGAGATGGAGAAATTGATGATACAGAACAGAGAGGGCAGAAGCAAAGCACAGCTCCCAGAAACTTCAAGGTCAGTTCAGGCCTTCTTTTTAATCATCCATTCATCAGATAGCAATGTCAATATTGATTCTTGATCTTTTTTGGCTGTGCAGTTCCCTTGTGGTGCCAAATATATTGTCTTTCCAAAGAATAATAATGTCATAGTTCATGCAAGGTCTTTTGTTGTTGTTCCTTAAAAATTTTTTGCTGAACGAGGTGTTTGTTACATACCTTTGATCCCAGACAGAGGCAGGTGGATCTCTGTGAGATCGAAGCCAGCCAGCCTGGTCTACATAGTGAGTACCAGGCCATCTGGGGCTACAGGGAGACCCTGTCTCAAAAAGACCCAAAAAAATTTTTTTATAATTATTATTATTTTGGTCTTTTTGAGACAGAGCCCCAGTTGGCCTGGCACTCACTATGCAGACCAGGCTGGTCTTGAACACACAGAGATCTGCCTGCCTCTCCTCCCGAGTGCTGGGATTAAAGGCAGATGGCACCATGTCTGGCCTCCTTTTGTTTTTTGAGATAAGTTTTTGCTATGTGGCTCTGGCTGGCCTGGTTCTTGCTATTTATCTCAGACTGGATTCAAATTTGGGGCAGTCCTTCTGTCAGCCTTCCAAGTTCTGTGATACAGATCTGCATGTTACCTTGAATAAATAATGCCAATTTTTTTGAAGCCAGGAGCTAGCCCACAGGATGTCTTCCTTACTACCGGCCACTGCACTACTTTCTGTCAGCTTTTATCTTTCATTATATATTTATCAAGATGACCCTGTGTTGTGAGTGCTGTGTAATTCCAGCAGTTGGGTGGTAAAGGCAGGATGTTTAGGAGTTCAAGGCCATGCTGGGGCTACTTGAGTCTCTGTCTCAAAAAACCAAACAAGAAAAAAGAAAATCTTGGAGAGAGGTATTTTGTTCAATGGTGTATCCACTGGTAAGTTGTCCACATCCTCACCCCTTATGTATTTTATGCATATGAGTGTTTTGCCTATGTGTATATAAGTGCACTAAATGCATGTAGT